TAATAAACACTTTTTTGTGTTCATATTTTGAGCAAAAAGTTAATTACTAAGGGTTGAATAATGTAAACACAATGTGAACACAATAAATCTGAAGACACTTGAGTTTGTTTTGGAATTTGAATAGAGCTTTTTTCTTTATGTGATTGTAGTTTTGTAGACATTGTGACACTCACTAACTATGGTGTTTATAGATCATTTGGCCACTCGAACTTCTTCTAGACAGATATCTTCTTCCATCTGTCATAACACTTGAGTGAAATTATTGATTGTAAAAAGGAGAATTTTCAGTGTTTCAGATTTTTTCTAAAAGCTTTTTCACATGCAAAAGCAAATTTTAATGTCTTGGTCATTAGGGCTTATAAATTTGGTCAAAAACCTAAATTCGAATTTCTCTCTTAAATATAAGCTAAATTTGAATTCTAAAGATAATACTTAATCCAGGGGTGTCCAAACTCAAACCTGGAGAGTTTATCTCCAACTTGCTTCAATACACCTGCCAGGAAGCTTCTAGTATATCTGGTAAGAGTTTGATTAGATGGTTCAGGTGTGTTTGATTATGGTTGGAGCTAAATTCTCCAGGATGCCGGCCCTCTAGGACCGAGTTTGGACACCACTGACTTAATCTTACAGGGAAATGTACTGTACTGTGTGCTATGCCCACAAGAGGGCGTTAGTGAGCACAATAAGTAAATAGAAACCTGATCAAGCATTTCTACTTGAATGAAATGACATTCCTTTTTTTAAGTGCATAGACTTTCAATCAACTGTTCCTAAATAAAATACAATTTATTTAAAACAATTTATTATTGCTCAAAAAAATTCAAAAGTCTTTTCCTATTTACATTTTCCATATTTTCCTATTTAAAGCTTGACCCTTCTGTAGCTAAATCATGTACTAAGCCTGACGGAAAATGAAGGTGGCTGTTTTTAAGATTGATCTGGCTAGGAGACACATTATCAAACTTTACAAGGGAAAATTATCAAAATTATTTGGTGTTTCAGCAAGATGCTAATGGTCTAATCAGATTCTATTATTTATACAAGCTAAGATCTACGATCCACAACAGACTTTCTGGATAGGCACATCACTGTTTTGCTCTATCACTTTCTAATGCTTTAACATTTCAAAACTACAATATGAACAAAGGGATTCAACTGTACTATAAAATTTTAAATAGCACCATCTCAGCAGCCCTATGTGCTCTGGTACCAAAACTAAACACAAGAACTGATCGTTCCACCAGATCTGTAACAAATAAATGTTTGCCATTATCGTTTATGTATTCACAAAAGCCTGGAATGAGATCCTACAACATCTGAAAACAATACCAACACTGAGACGTTTTCATTCATTCATTTTCTTGTCGGCTTAGTCCCTTTATTAATCCGGGGTCACCACAGCGGAATGAACCGCCAACTTATCCAGCAAGTTTTTACGCAGCAGATGCCCTTCCAGCCGCAACCCATCTATGGGAAACATCCACACACACATTCACATACACACTCATACACTACGGACAATTTAGCCTACCCAATTCACCTGTACCACATGTCTTTGGACTGTGGGGGAAACCGGAGCACCCGGAGGAAACCCACACGAAGGCAGGGAGAACATGCAAACTCCACACAGAAACGCCAACTGAGCCGAGGTTCAAACCAGCGACCTTCTTGCTGTGAGGCGACAGCACTACCTACTGCGCCACTGCCTCGCCCACTGAGACTTTAAAAATAAACAAATAAATAAATAAATAAAAATCACGTTCGTCATCTGATGGTCAACTATTGCTGTAGCCTCTGAGATAATAGCCTGCTTTTCTTTATTTTATATGTTTGGCGATTGTTTGTACTGTGTTGATGGATGAGATGTTTTTATGTTCTGCAGAGCAGGAACCTGCTGAAAAACTGCATTCATGCTGAGTCAGGCCCGATTATCTTTTAATCTTTTCCCGTTTAAAAATTATAAATAAATAAATAAAATAAGCTAAAAGTGATTCTACCAGACCCAGAAATTGGCTGAATGTATTCAAAATAGTACAACTTTTTTTTATTCCACGTGACACCACGTAGCCAATTTCCAAAACAAGGTTGACTGTTCCTTTAACTTCCTGCCAGCAATTGTGCCACACGTAAGATTACTTTTGTGTTTTGATAAAACAGTACTGTTTTTCAGATTGCCGTCAGAAATTAGTGCCACCATCATATGACCTACCGCAGCAGTCTTTTTCTGTGCAGGTGTGTCTTGTGCAGGTTCAGGTTTTACAGCAGGAATGGTCTCGTACTGAGGGAGAGGAGCAGGGTACAATACCTGCGGCATTTCCACACTTATTCCTGGCAAACCGTAGAACATGAATCTCTGCCAAGAACAATGAGAAAGTTATAAGTACCTCCGTTCACACACAACTTTTGTTGATGAATCCAAACAGTTTGGATGAACTCATTAATAAAATGACCAGGTTGATGTACATGTTAAGCCCACAAATGAAATTTCATCTGAATGAAAATACCACAGAAATATGCTTCAAAATAGATCATATTCAGAATAAACTCAATTTACGATGTGTATTTTACTAGTGCACTTTGTTATTCTCTAGGTGAACAATTACTCAGTCCAAGTTAATCCACTAAAAACAAATGTTTTGGTAATCGTCAATCAAATTCTGAGCATTTGCTTGTGTGTTTGGAGCGGAGGTCCATTCTGTTAACGTCAGTATTCTTAACCATACCGCTCCTACCGTTAGTTAGAGGAAATGATGCACAAAAACAAAACAAAAACAAACTCAACATTCAGATTTATTTGGAAGTACATCAGCATACTGATATAAAATCTGCTTCACTCAGACTTTGGGCTCTATTTTAACAATCTAGGCGCAAGGTCTGAAGAGCTGGGCGCAAAAGCATTAAGGGCATGTCCAAATACACTTTCAGGGCCCTATCATACACCCGGTGCAATGTGGCGCTAGGCGCGGTGCAATAGTCTTTTGGTAGTTTCAGCTTGGCGCAAGAGTCGTTTTGAGGCGTTGCGCTACGCTGTTTAAATAGCAAATGCATTAGCGCTCATATGTGCCCCCATAGGCGTTCTGGTCTAAAAAGGAAGGCGTTCTGCGGCACACTGCTGGCGCTTTGCTATTTTGAGAGACTAAAATAGATTTTTCATTAGACCAAAACAAACCCGGTCTAAACTCCGGCGCAGAGTTGCGCCTCGCTTACACACTGCTTAATACACACAAGAGAGCAATAGGCAAATATCTTTACATATGAAAAAAATTAAATATTAAGGATATATATAGGATATAATAAGAATAGATATAGGATATAAATATAAAGGATTCAAATATTACAAAACATATTATTTTCTAGCCTACATAAATATGAAAAATCACTGCTTTTATGTCTTCTTCATCTCGGGAGGCTTTTTCAGTTCATTCAGAACAATTTGCTTTTGTATAATGTTATTATTATTAGCAGTATTATTTATTATATCCATATTTATATTTGTTTTATTAAAAACAAGCTTTGATTTGTCCACCTGTCAGGTTTTAGACCATATGGGGCACAGCATGTGTTTTAGGATATAACTCAGGTTTTTGAGCACACTTCATTATTATTGTTCATTTATTCGTTTGCTGGAAATTAGAACTGAATTTAGAAACAGTTTTGAAACTAATTTTTGCGATAAACAAATGCAATTATTTATTTATAGACTAATTGATGTCTGTGCGTAAAGGTTTTCCTATCCAAGAGCGAAAGTGAAAGTAGATCCATTATCTCTCATTCTCACGCAGTAGATGCTCTGTTTAACAGTTTTCTGTTAAAAAAACTGTTAACTGTTTGCTAGTGAAATGCTCAGTTTTTCCACTTAGACTTACTTTACGTCCTGTAAATAGCGAATGCGCTTATGGCGCAACGCAGCTGGCTCTTAAAGGGAATGGGAGATGAGACTCTAATTGGTTTATTCTCAAAACACACCTATAACTCATTAAGAAAATAAACTCAACCCTTTAGACCATGCGCCACGGCGCAAAGGGGATTTTCCCGTCCTTTAATTAGCAAAAATGCGATCTGACACGCCTGAAAGCGTTTGCACCCTGCGTTTTGCGCTCTGCGCATGGACCGTCAAAATAGAGCCCTTACTATTTTAAAGACAGAACAATAAGCTCTGCGCCATGGTGCATGGTATTACAGCGTTGAGCTTATTCTCTTAATAAGCTCTGGTTGTGTTTTGAGAATAAACCAATCAAGAGTCTCATCTCCCATTCCCTTTAAGAGTCAGTTGAGTCGCGCCATGGCACATTTGCTATATACATGGCAGACTTTGTAAGTGGAAAAACTGAGTGCTTCAATAGCAAGAAAACAGTTAAACAGACCATTTGCAGCACGAGAATGAGAAAATGAGCCTCCTCCAATTGGCATTTACTTTCAATCTCTCTCTATCGTGGATAAGGAATTGTACACACAGACATCAATTAGCCTACATAACAAATTTTGTTTGTTAAGCACAAAGATTTGTTTTAAAACTATTTCTAAATTCAGTTTTAATATAACTTCGATATTATGAATAAATGAACAGTTCGCTGGATATCCAAATACACATGCTATGCTCCATGTGGTGCAAAATCTGACAGGTGGGCAAATCTAAGGTGGTTTTTTATAAGACAAATATAAATATGCATTTAATAAATACTACTACTAATAAAAATATTATACAAAAGCAAATTGTCATGAATAAACCAAAAAAAAAGCCTCCTGAGATGAAGGCATGGAGGCAGTAGTTTTTGTATTTATGTAGAAAGCGATAATTTAAAAAATATTTTAATCCTTTAATTCTTTTTCATTTGTAAAGATACGTGTATTGCTGTACATCCTGCGTGTTTTAAGCAATGTGTAAGCGAGGCGCACAACTAACACCAATAACCAACTAGCGCTGGACTTTAGATGTGCTTTCAATTGGTCTATTGATCAGTCTATTTTAGTTCCTCAAAATAGCAACGCGCCAACAATGCGCCAACAATGCGCCAACAATGCGCCTTAATACACCTCATTTTTAGACCGAAACACCCATTAGTCCACAAAGTGGTCCAAATACATTTGCTATTTAAATAACGTAGCGGAAAATGGGAAAATTAAGGTAGAGTTGGTTTAAAAATAGCAACACATCGTGGAAACACATCTTGCGCCTTACTGCGCTGGGTGTATGATAGGGCCCTTTAAGTCTGCATGAATCTCAAGTTGCTGCAGACTTTTATTTTAGTAAAATGTATTTCCAACTAAAACAAAATACTGAGTAGGGGGCGGGGTTTTATTTTGCACTCAGTTGGAGGGGGCTTGGTTAAGCATATCTCGCTCAAGCCGTCCAAATTACATGATCATAAAAGAACTGCAGAAGCAAATAGATATACTATGTACAAAAAAATTATAATAAAAATCCCCCCTCCAAAAATACAGTAGCTTTTAACAGTAGATTAACTTGCACTGATTAATAGTTCAGATTATCAAAGTGTGCTAACAAAATAAACATTGTACATTTGGATTTCATGCAGATGTTTATGTTAGAATACAAAACCATGAGTTGCTTGTAGCAAATTTTCCTGCTTCTTTCTTTTGTAAGCACATTTATGACAAGTTCAGACTTCACAATACCAGCCTGATGCATTGAAGTAGTGCTGATAAACAACAATGACCTGATATCAATTATGAAATGAAACTTTGGAAACAATACACCAGCCTTTACAGTATTTAGTTGAGAAACTAGAGTCAGGAAAACGTTCTGAGGTGATTCTAGCTATAGTTGTTTATGCTGTTGTATCAGATGTTAGTCATTCATTTCGACTAACATCACACACATCATTAAATAAGGGAAGCAAGATAAAACGTGACATTTCTTGTCCTCAACATGGATTTAACGGTCAAAAATATCACATGATCTGACACAGTTACTGTTGTAAAAGTCAAAAATAGTAGACTGAAAGTGGTATTAAAGCATTAGTTCATCTAAATATTACAATTCAGTAATCATTTATTCCCCCTCATGTTGTTCTTTCCCATAAAGCCATTTCGATCAAAAGTCTTATGGGTTTTAAATAACATGAGGATGAGTATGTTGTTATATTGATAGATTACAATAAATAAAAAAAAGAGACAATATACAGTAAAGATGTAAAGATACAGAAAATTTTGATTCTTTTTTTCCCCCAACAGACAGCTTATGAAAATTCAGTCATCATGTACACCCCTGAAGCCGTAAAAATAACCCTTTCTGCATCTCAATAAAGCATTTGTGGATTAGACCATGACAGTATGTGAAAGAAGAAGAACAGCTCATTTAGTGTGTCATTAATCATTATACCATCTCTCGACAATACATATTGCAGAATTTTCCAGTTTCAGTTTTCATTGCAATCAAGTGTTTACATGCCTTGGCAAATGTGTTAGAACATGTTTAAACCATTCCTAACAATTGGAATGAACTGCAGTTTAGTGACTGAGCTCAGAGTAGAATTACAAAAAAAGGTTATTGAGGTGGAAATTAGCTTCCCTGCGCAATTTGTAAATCTATAGATATAAAAACCTATGCTTACTTTGAGCACAGCCAATAAAGCACCCAGATCCTGGTTTGGAACGGCCTTCCATTTCCCCCCATTGAGAAAATACTGCATCCCCTTCAGGGCACTCTGCAATAACTGAAACAGAAGAAGCAGTGAAATGACAGTGAACAAGAAAAATAGTGAATAACTCGGGCTCATAAGAAATACGCGCTTCAGCCTAAATTTTTGGAAACCACTAAAATGTAATTTAACATACCCTTGACAAAATCTGGCAAGGAAATCCCGAAGTTTCCTTCAGCTTAGTCCCTATATACATCAGGGGTTGCCACAGCAGAATGAACCACCAACTTATCCAGCATGTTTTACACAGTGTATGCCCTTACAGCTGCAACCCAGTACAGGGAAACACCCATGCACGCTCACATTTACACACACATACACTACGGCCAATTAAGTTTATTTAATTCACCTATAATGCATGTCTTTGGACTGTGGGGAAAACTGGAGCACCCGGAGGAACCCCTTGCAAACGGGGAGAACATGCAAACTCTACACAGAAATACCAACTGACCCAAGCGACCTTCTTGCTGTGGGGTGACAATGCTAACCCGTGAGCCACCGTGTCACCCTGTTTTGTGCTTATAAATATATAATTATGACTATGTATTGATAAAAAATAAAATAAACATACTATGACTAGTCTTATTTGTAAAATGAACACTATAAAAGTAGTTAGGACTCAAATGCTTTAGTTTGTTTTCACATTGATGATTTTACAGGGACATATTATTGAGGAATAAAGCCTTATTTTTAAGCAGTTCTTTGCACAACACTAAATAAATACTTCAAAACTTGAAGGTGTCTAAGATCTGCAATCAAATATGTTTGCCTCACCTATCTATCTTCATTTGGGCAATTTTTCTGGTGTGGAAAGTTTTATTCCTTAGCTTACTAATTCAATGTAAACTATGTGGTCTTTTCTTTGACATTTCCTTTTGAAATACCTGTTTTAGGGAAGGGTTTAGGTCAGTGGTTCCCTATGTCATCTGCGTGACAAGCTTTTTTAAACACTTCATATTCGCAAAACATGTAGACAGCACTAGGCCTGTCACCATATCTAAATTTTGTTGTACAATATTGAACCAAAATATATTGCAATAAACTATATAATTGTCATTTTAAAACCATTATATATATATATATATATATATATATATATATATATATATATATATATATATATATATATATATATTAGGGATGCTCATTTCGGTTAATTTTGCTAACCGACAACCGCCGCGCATTAATCGGTTATTAACGGTTAACTGGTTAGATTACTATTAATTTTATATTAAACAAATTGACGTGACTATTTTGTGTCTGATACATTAAATATTGCATTTTAAAATACTGATTTATTTTATATGCTAGCATATTAATAATAGAACATAACAGAGCATTTTCACGCACCTGCAGTGTTTAGCACAGAAGAGCAGAATAATCTAAATAAAATGAATAAAATAAATAGGACTGCCCTAAATTATTTTCCACTTAAATAATTAATTTATATTACAAATCGACACTGACTGATTATTTTTAACAACCGGTATAGGCTGTTATTTTCCAATCATATTTTTGTCTTCCGTCAAATAAAATAGCAAACTTCCTCAAATCGCTCGCTCCACGGAAAATATGCATTTATTTAATGCCCCGCTGTTATTATTATAATCACAAAACCTTTTTACATTTTTATTAGAAATCATTATTTTAAAGAATATGTCTTGATGGTTTCCTTTCTCTCCCTCGCGGTTCAAATGCGCGCTGCGTGATGAAAAGACAACAACAACGCGCGCATATGTTGAAATTTTGTAAACAGTTGTGTTGTTTAAATATGATATTGCATTAATGTGCATGCATGCTTTATTAGCTGTAAAATAAAAGGTAAAGCCTATTTGTTGCGTTTATGATGCAGATCCAGGTCAACATCAGCGTTTTTTGGCATCAACACGTCTGTTTCAAACAGCATTATTCTTCTTCCATTTTGCTTCTTTGGCAAATGTGTCTGTAGGCACGGGTTATACGCTATCGTCCCGCAAGGTTAAGTATGTCTTGCAGTAAAACAAGTGGCCGACCACAGCTAACATGCTTTTTTTCATTCCAAAAACGCGAGGCACACCTCACTGCCTTTATGTTGACAAGGAAAAAAGAAGAGAAGCGCGGTCCTCTTATGAAACGACTGAATCAGCTGGGTATCGATTGTGCAAAAGTGTTGCTGTCTATGTTGTTACAATTGTAATATTTAATAATATCGTGATATTCAAGATTTGTACATTCATACAGCTCTGAATAACTTCAAACAGCGATTAGACCTTCAGAGCGGCAATAATGCGTCCTGAAGTAAAGCGAAACGGCTATAAACTCCAACAAGATAGAGTGATTATATGCAGAGCCATATACCTTTATCTCTAAATAAAGTATAACTATAGAAACTGTGTTCATCTTAACTGAAAGCTTCAGCATGTTTGCTGGCCTCACGCATCGCGCACCAGTCAGTCAGTCAGCACATAACCCCAAAGGATTAAACAATAGCGCACAGCACTATACGGTTACAGAAATGTTTGCGCTGTTATAATCCACTTACCTTTTAATACGTTTTGATGCGATTATAATCTGCTATTAAAAACAACAACAATAACTGAACGTTTTGAAAGGGTAAATGTAGCCGTGGAGGGATGCATTTTGGTCCCGGCCATGGAAGAATGAATGTAGCGGAAACCAAGCTCTTTGAAAGTTCTAGTTGTCTTGACAACACAAACTGCTGCTCTGTGATGAGCCGCGTGCAAAAGATGCCCCTCTTAACGCAAAGGCGCATTCAATCAGCCCCTTATGCAGTCACACTAAAAATATATAAAATAATAATTTTAATCGTTTAACTGATAGCATTAATCGGTCACAAACGCACCCTTTCGGTTAACGGTTAATCGATTTTTTTGAGCATCAATAATATATATATATATATATATATATATATATATATATATATATATATATATATATATATATATATATATATATATATATAAATGAGCAATATCACATGAGTAGCAGTGCGATATGACTGTATATCGGCACTGGTGGGAGGCATGCGCTGACACGAGGCTGCAGGCCGAGTGCCTTAGTGCCCCCACCAGTGCCAATAAAGTTCTTAAAGTTGTTAAAATATTGGCCCAACCCTGGTTACTGCATTTGATAGGGATAGTTCACCCAAAAATAATTGTAGAGGAAATAACATTTGACATCTATTGACTTGAATAGTATTCAGTTTTCCTACTATGCAATTCAATGGTTACAGGTTTCCAATATTAATCTTAATATCTTCTTTTTGCAATTAACCGGAATAGGAAACTCCTAAAGGTTTGGAATCACTTGAGGGTGAGTAAAGCTTCAGTTTTAGGTGAACTATCCATTTAAATTGCTGAAGGTGATGAGTGGGAAAGGAATAAAACAGAGCTGAAAAATAAACAAACCATTCAAATAGGTGTGAAACATCTCAAACAAATTAATCCAACAAACAAAAATACTTTATATACCGTGATTTGGACAAAAAGATAAATTTAAAAAACATGACTTTCAATGTGTGCAACAGAACTTTCATATCAGAAATCTCATAACGCTGTTGGAACCATACATTTACTGCTGTTCTGCTCAATTCTGTGCGTGAAATCCAATAATTTCAGCCGGAAGGGTTTAAAGGGTAAAAAAAATTTCCCCACTCAGATTCACCTCATGTTTTACTACATGAACCTACCATGTTGACCAACAGAAAGAGGTTTGATTAATAAATCTGGCATGATCTAAACTCATGTGAACGTGCCCTGACTTACAGAAGCATCTGTTAAAGATGCAGTACTAACCGTACAGAAGACAATGTCGTCCACATCTGGAGGCTTGGTGGACTGTAGTGTCCGCAGGAGGATTCCGTAACACACACTTTTATACGGCTCTTCTAAATATGGCTGAGAAGGAACACTATAAAAAAAACAAACATTTAATTAATTGTGAAGATCTGTTCACACCAACTGCAACTTTACTATCAAAACAGCGGAAGTTTTAATAATCTGTGAAATATGATAACTACAATCCTTATTAAAAATGATTTATTTTGCTAATTAAGGTTAAAAATGAGAGATTAAGCTTTTATAGTGGCAAGCTTTTTATTCACAAAAAGAAAAACTTGTGTCTGACTAAAAGTCAACTTTCATGCAGCACTGATGAAAAACAGGACTGTGAGTGTTTTATTTAATGTATGAAAACAACAATGTTCTGTTAATCGTCTCATTTTGCACAAACAAACATACAGGAAAATGGTTCAGTAACCAAACGATTTTCCATATTCTAAAATATTTGTTAGATGCGACAGTTTAAATGTGGACTCGAATCTGTGCTTGTGTCTGTTAAAAACTGTCGAGGGGCTACCTATTTTTCACACAGGGCTATGTAGTTTTGCATTTTGTTTTCCCTTAATAATAAAAACCTTCAATTCAATTTGTTTGACAATCTGAAAAATCAGTAACAAACATGCAAACAAATAAGAAATCAGTGAAAGGCCAAATAATTTTTCACACCACTGATATACAAGTACATGATACCCAACATTTAATGATTAATTGTGCAACTACACACTAATTTCATTAAATCATACCAAACATGTAGTGAACACCTTTAATAATCTAAGCATACAGGAGTCACAACTTCTTCTGTCATCATCATCATATTTTACAGGGAGGCCAAAATAATATTAATTTGAATAATAAATAAATAAATAAATAAATAAATAAATAAATAAAAAAATTTGAATTAATTTTACATCAAATATCAATAAAACCAAATATATTTATTTTATTGTTGCTAATTTTTCTTTGTATTTTAAATTTTAAACAAAAAAAAAGGAGTTTCTAATTGATTTAGCAATATTTAAATTTAAAAGAAAAAGCTTATCTGCACAAACACCCTCCCTCACGAAAAAAAATGGAAGTAAAGTGATCTTCTCATGAGCTGTTATCTGTGTTTGTGCACTTGAATCCTCCAGACTGTAAAGGGGATCGCACACCAGATGTGCCGCTCGTCAACACGTCACGCAGCGCCATGTATTTTCCAATTGACCCTTCGCTAAGCCCCACCCTCCTTAGTTACTGTTGCTACACCTGTCAAGCTTTTGTGCCTGCAACATGTATTATAACATGTATGCGCCGGTGTCAGAAATTGCCAGGGATATAAATAGTCATTTTTGACAAACAGGAGAGAAAAAGCCAGACAAAAAAAGGACTGCAGTATGCATTACAGGGGTATATTCACGACATAACAGGCAACCGATTAGATAATAACTGAATCAAAATTGAAGCTAGGGTAGCCTAGTCGCCTAATCAGCTAAACATTCAACAGCTTAGTTCATGCGCAGCAGGAGAGGTGACATTTAAAAATAATCTAATAATAACAAATTAAACCGTGATTTCTCTTTTTTAGCCAAAAAGCCTGATAGACTATAGTTGTGCAATAAAATATAGCGTTACTAGTCGATGAGGAAACACGCATGGACAGTGCTTCTACGTCATTCATTCATAGAAAGAGCAGTTGTGCAATGAAATATAGCGTTACTAGCCGACGAGGAAACACGCATGGACAGTGCTTCTACGTCATTCATTCATAGAAAGAGCAGCCAGAAAGACGGAACTGATGGATTTGTGTCGAATATTAACATCATTTACCCATAACAATGTACACCTATACCTGTCTGTACGTATGTTTGTGTGCTCTTTATACTGTTTCTATTTTATTTTTTTACTTATATTTGCAGTTAAGTGAAATAAATAAATACATTGAAATGCAAATCAAAGTATACATAGCAGAAGTGAACAAATAGATTTTCCCTACCAGCGAATAGTAATCTAAAACCAAATATAAAAGTAGACACTAACCCAGTATAACATCGTCACCAACGATCTTCAAAACACAGATGAAAACATCAGTTAATTGTAGCTGTGACATGGACATCGAGGCTTATAAATTACCCGAAAACAGCTGCGGGTAAAGTATTGATTGCAAGTGCTCAGATTGTGATCATATCTCTGTTTTGTTCTGTTGATATGTAATTTCAAATATTCGTAGCTTGAAACAGATGGAAATATGATTGCTTTTAGTATGACTACTATGGCGAGGGCTTAAACGGAGCAGTCAGGCCCGGATTGGCTAATCAGGAGGACCGGGAGAATTCCCGGTGGGCCGTTCCGTTTTTTGGCCGCGAGAGCTGGTGTCCCTAGCTGCTTGCACTCTCAGCAGTCGCACTTCTTTCATTTATTTATTTATTTGACCATAGTCTCACTCTTTTTATTCATTATTTTGCCGCAGCTCCGCACTTTTTATTTATTTTCTCGCAGCCCCGTGAGCAAAATGCAGCCTGCAGGTTAATGATGATGTAACTATTATTCGACCCCAAACAGCGGCAGCTTAGTGAATATAAGAATTCGAATAATTAATATTAATGAATATTACACCTGCTCAATGGAAATCAGATGATTCACTACATTAATAAATCTGACTTAAATTGATCAGAAATCTAGAAAGGGGAGAAAAAGATTAAGCCATCAATAGACGATCCTTAACAACAGCGCCATTGTGGTCCAGTGGTCAGCACGATGCGTTACCACACTGCAGGACCCGAGTTCGATCCTTACCTATATAATTTATTTTTTCATTTTTATTGTTAAGACATATAATACTGTTTGGGTTGTTGAACATTTCAACTTCTAAAGCAGCTGTTTTCTTGTAAAAGACGTGATCGTGTCATTAGAAACTGAATTGGAAATGACGTTATTTTAATATAATCAGTCGGGAACTGAGGTGGGCTACTAAGGCTTGAAACTCCAGGGCTGAAATGGAGTCCCACTCCGGGCCTGGGAGCAATGCTTATAATATCGAGTGCAAAAAAAGAAAAAGACAGCTGGGAAACATAACCTGCTTTGTATTTTTGTAGGAAACACAGTTTAGATCTTTTTGAGGTAAGAGATGTGCGAGTTATGGCCGTCTATCACTGAATATGTCAGAAATATCAAAACAAGACCAAGTTAACTCCGCTCCTTTAGCGCCCCTCACATAGCTTGATTTACGCTGGCATTTCTCCCCTTGGGTTTTAGGTTTTGAAAAGGGAAAAATGCCACAACCCTGTCCCAACTTTTAGGCTACCGGGTGTCAGATTTGCACAATCCATATGCACAAAGCTTTGGCCTGTTTCCCTCGCTCGAAAGCTTGACAGAGCCCCTGCGCGTAGCTACGGTTGAGGTTTTTTGGTGTGGCTTAGCGAAGTGTCAATTCTAAACATAGATTTCTATCAGTGTGCACGCACCAATGCCGCAAGTCGGTAGCTGTCCGCGGCGCCCAGCCACGACTCAGGATACTGTTCATATTTCTGTCTCACCACAGAGCGCCATCTAAATAGTTTCATATCAAATAACATTCGAATGTGGGCTTCTGGTTTGTAATGTTTACAACTATTATGTGCATGCCTTGTCGCGGCGCTGAGCACTTTGTTGTTGTGTGGTGTTTTCCAGCATTTATCTGAATCTATTTTTTGAAATAACAGCCATTTGCAAAAACTGACCTGAGACACAGATTAGCAATGCAATGCACAGCTGAACGCCGCAACTCTATGTCTGGCTGCTTGGGGTCACCATACTTAACCAGAACCCCACTTGGTCCAAGAAGTTCTGGAAGATACTGGAAGGATTAAAAATTTAAATTTAATTACAATATAAAACAAAACATCCAGAAAAAAAAAAGAGAGAGCTTCCATATCAGCAATTCTTACCCTTTGGCATTTGGATCCATTGCCATACACCAGTGACGAAAGAGCAAGCAGCACCTCTGAATGAGTCCATGAACTGCATGTCCGCAGAGCCCGCGAGCAGTACGATACCAAAACATCAAGCGTATGTTCATCCACTATTATCTGTTAGTAGTAAAACAGGAGATTTTTTTCAGAGGAATAGGAAAGCCTTGATTAGAATCGTGTCAGTAACAATAATAAGTAATCATTTTTATTAATAATAATTTGTGCAGTATCACTTTTAGTATGTGATATGCCTTGTGTTTGATGTGTCACGTAACTTGAAGTAAAATGAAAACAGTGCAAAACAAAGTAGCCCCTCCCCCTTTAAAAAAGCAGCCAATGGCATTTAGTTGTTAAAACAGTCTGTTTCGCATATGGGATTTTAATTTTTTTTCCAAACTTAAAAATAATAATAATTAAATAAATCACTGCATATTAGGATGTAAACTCAGCACTGACATACAAGAGAAATATTGTGTCATGATTAATCCAGTTAGAAAGCAGGATCAACGTATTTACCTGTAACTGTAACATGATATTGGGAAATGACTGGGTGGGGGAATATTCATTTCATCATATTATTAATGCAGATTGAATAAATGTAATATAACAATTCAGTGACTGTTATTAAGCAATAGCATTAGTATGTATACTCAGTGCATTCATATTAGCGTTTTTCATTTTTCAAACAATTATCATTGAAACCCTATGGTAATGAGGTGCTATATGTGTGGTTTTACATATGATTATGGTTGGCAATATTTAGGTATTTACATTTTAATTTCCAAATATTACAATTTTTTACAGATGTTATCATTTTACTCAATAACCTAAAATTACATCCATTCATAAAAAATACAAATAATTCATAAACATTTAGCATTATTAGTACTTTTGATCTTAGATTTCTAAAAGGTTCATCTGGTTGACATGTTTACTGACAATAAAATGTACTTTTATTTAACAATTGTCCTTTTTTTAAACAGCTTTTACTCAGGAGAAAATATCTGCCTTCAAAATGAAAAGAAATTGAATTATCTGCATCTACTGATATAAAAAATACAAGATTATTAACATGATGCGTTTTGACCATTTAACCCAACCCTATGGTAAATACCTGTAGCTGGTTTAGAAGTTGATGAATCATTTGGCAGAGTTTGATGATGAGATGTTCTTGACTTAGAGGAACCAGACGACTTGCTTGCACCAGAATCTCACACACAACCTATCAAAAACATGTACATGCACATGAATGTACTGTATAACAATACTGGTTGTAAAATTTGGGATATGTCAATTCTCTTTTTTACAAGTGGTGCATTAAATTGGTCAAAGTGGAAATAAATAAACTTAGGATTTTACAAATAATTTTCAATATAAACACTGTTAGATTCCAACGAAAGTATCCCCAAACACATTAATTAACAAAAACACTGGCAAAAATATGCTGCATTATAAAATCTGTCATCATTTACTCATCCTTCACTTAATTCAAACTTTTTTGAGTTTTTCAAACCAACTTTTTTCTGATTAACACAAGGGAATTTTTTTGTAATTTTCCTTCGGCTTAGTCACTAATTTATCATGGGGTCGCCACAGGGGAATGCATCGCCAACTACTCTGCCATATGTTTTACACAGCTGATGCCCTTCCAGGCACAACAACAAAAATATTCTGAAGAAATTGGAAAAAAACAGGAATTGACTTCCATAGTATTTTTGTTTTAAATAAGACTTTCTCCAGAAGAAAAAAATATTATCAGACCTACTGTGAAAATGTCTTTGCTCTGTTAAACATCGATTGGCAAATATTTAAACAAGAAAAAAAGAATTCAAAGCGGGGGCTAATAATTCTGACTGTATATTGCGCTATAAATACAATCTCACTAAATGAGTTGAATAACTATTTGGACAGAATTTATCATTTTAGATTGATTGGTATGATCCTGTACGGGAGTACATCTGCATAAAACATTAGAAACAATCTACAAATGTAGATAAATTCAATTAAGAAAAAGATACCGATTAAATAAACTTTTTTTTTTCTTCTAGGAGTTAAATTGTATTCAGGTATTCAGTAGTTGAATAATAATCAATGTAAAATAATACTGTATAGACTTAATTTTATCAACAATTCAAGTTATTCATTTGTCAAACAGTACAATTTCATAGGCCTGAATGCTTTTACACCCTCACACAGGCCTCATAAAAATATTTGCGAAATTATAAATTATAATCTATCCTCAAAGAAGGTCCTTGGTTTGAGCCCCCGCTGGGTCAGTTGGCATTTCTGTGTGGAGTTTGCATGTTCTCCCTGTGTGGTATGGGTTTTCTCCGGCTGCTCTGGTTTCCCCCACAGTCTAAATTGGCTGTAGTGTTTGAGTGGGAATAAGTGTGTATTGATGTTTTTCAGCACTGGGTTGCCGCTGGAAGGCCATCCGCTGTGTATAACATATGCTGGATAAGTTGGCGGTTTATTGCACTGTGGCGATTCCTGATCAAAGGAGCTAAGCCAAAGGATATTGAATGAATGAATCCAGACTCAACATTGTGTATGTTATGGATGTGACTATTGCGAATGATCACATTGACATATTGATGCTGGAAAGATATATTGTATAGCCCTAATCACAACATTTTCATTTTGAGTTGAACTATCCCTTTAGTTTAAATAGTGTGAATAACCAATAATAGTAGCACCCAAATTAAAACAGAAAGTAATGGCAGCTGGGAATTAATGGCAGCTGGAATAAATTGCATTTAAAAAAATACAGATAAAATAGAAAAATGTATACTGTACAGTCATTTATTTACATTACTACAGTTGTGGTAATACCACAGCAACAACAGAATTACCACAACAGACTTTATTATAGTACGGTTCAAAAACACTGTAATGTTTACTAACTTACAGCAGTGTTTCCCAACCCTGTTCCCGGAGGCACACCAACAGTACATATTTTGGATGTCTTCCTCTCTTCTTATGTTCTGCTGAGTCAGGTGTGTTTGATTAGGAAGAGGTTGAAAATGTGTACTGTTGCTGTGCCTTCAGAAACAGGGTTGGGAAACACTCTACTATAGAATTTTTAATGTGTTTTTTTGTCTAATTAACTGGTAGGCATTAATAAAAGCAGTATAAATATGCTCATACCTCTGGGTGGATGTTGTCATGGTTGCTGCTGCTGTAGTTTTCTGAAATGAGCTCGTCGAACATTAAATTGAGCTCAGTTTTCAGACTGGCGCTGTCAGACGGGCTCAGAGACCTGAGTTTATTAAAGCAGCGGCTGATCTGCGCCTGCGCCGATCCGTCGAGCTCATGCTGCGGCTTTGACAGAGAGACAAACCTTGAGGTGTCTGCTGATGCGGACTTAAATCCTTGAGTCTTTCCATCTGGAGAAAAACTTGAGTTCGAACCCAAAAACGTTCCCTTACCGGCCATCTTTACGGGGTCAAAACAGCGGCTTTACTATGGTAACCAGGAACCACATCCGATGTCAACCGGAATCGACAGTTTGTAAATTAAAAGTTCTTTGTTGCATTCTTTTTTTTCTTCATTTGTCTATGAAAGGGATAAGTTACACAAAAAAATATCATTTTATTTGTAAAAATGTTCTCATTGGTGAAAATTTCTTTCAAAATGTTCAACAAAAAATTCTCTGTGATCTTACGTGACTTACCAATCAGTTTCTGATGTTCCCATTTGCTTCCACTTTGTTTTAATATCACCAACAGTTAAATAATTAATGTTATTTCAGGAATGGCAACCTATCACAGTACCACGCTTGAATGGGGTTTACGCACACAGACTTTTAAGTTTCAGCCAGCCAGCGCAAGCACTTCCAGTGAACTGTGATTCCATTACAAAATTGCCACGTTTAAGGTCTGATTTCTTTAAAGGTTAGTGATCTTCATTGCCTGATTGATATACGATATAAAGTGTGCATCGAACTGGACAAAAATCACCGCATAATGCCATGTCTTTTAAATATGGAAATGTATTTTACGTTTACGTGCAAGAAGTGAACCACAAGAAGATTACAGACCCACACACTAGAGCTCACGCGGGCACAAGGGATGTTCATGCATGCGCTGAACTGATCCACCATGAGGAAACCGCCGCTTGTGAGCTCATTGTAAACCATGGGTCTCAAACTCGACTCCTGGTGGGCAGCAGCTCTGCACAGTTTTGCTTCAACCCTAATCAATTACGGCTGATCCAGCTAATCAAGGTGCGCAAGACTACTAGAGACTATTAAGCAGGTGTGAGTTGGAGGTGGTTGGAGCTGAAGTATGCGGCGCTGCGGCTCTCCAGGAATTGAGTTTGAGACCATTGTTGTAAACCCCCGCACAAGCACCTTATCATCTGTGCGCACGATATACACTGCGCGATCAGTTTTCGCTTGCTCTTCTCTCTGTCTGCGCAAAACTTTTTGTGTTTTTTTTTTCAGTCTTGGGGCAGGACTTGGTCTAATTGTTATCACTTATGCTATTGGTTATTCTCCCTTACTGAAAGTAAAGCTGCGATCACACTAGAGTTTGAGCGTGGGAAATTTTGTAGTACAGCGCTGCAAAAAGGGGCGGGATTAAACAAGATGATTAGCCTTTTTTTTCTTTTTAAAAATAAAGCAATTGGCCCATAATTTAAATTTCTGTCCAGAGAAGTCTTGATGTGATCCTCGATTGGTCTCACGCAATCATATGATGCGATTTCACAGGTCAGAGTTCACCAAGCTTGAACTTTGCAACCTGCAAAACTATGTCGCAGGTGCTTGCGTTTCCGATCTGACGGATTTGCGTGCATTTGAATGGAAAAGTCCAGTGTGACCGCAGCTTTAGCTGGGATTGAAGCTCAAGAGTGGTTGTTTACTCGAAGTGGATCAGTTTAGCGTGTGCATGAACATCCCCTGCGCACACAAGCACTAGTTTCCTCACGTGAATGTCTGTAATCTTCTAATGGTTCACTTCTCCTCGCGTGTAAACATCCCCGGTGTGCTCGATTATTTTTGGCATAGATTTGCCGTCATAAGTTTTCATGCTAGCCTGCTGCTACTAATGGTGCTTGCGTTTACAGGGTCTTTCATCTTGTTTTACGCTTGAACAACAAAATTAATGCTTTAATTTATTAATATTTATGTATTTTAATTACTTTACAACGCCAATTCTGTAAAAGAAAGCTTAAAACATTGAAAACAGTCATATACACTGTAGTTTAACATTGGCTGAACAACACTTGCCGTGCATTTACCCAGTTCAATAAGCTAAATAATAATACATAATAAAATGCTCATTTTATTTGTGAAAACCCAGCTGAAAATCCAGCTTAGGCTGGTTGGCTGGTTTTAGCTGGTTGACCAGGCTGGTTTTAGAGGGGTTTTGGCCATTTCCAGGCTGGTTTTCATACATTTCCAGCCTGGTCTTAGCTGGTCAGGCTGGAAAATGACCAGATAAATCCAGCTTGACCAGCCTGGTTAAGCTGGACATAGCCGGTTTTGGCTGGGCTTCCAGTCTGGCTAGGCTGGTCAAGGTGGTTTTAGCTGACCATCTCCCAGCCTGACCAGCTAAGACCAGCCTGGAAATGGCCAAAACTTCTCTAAAACCAGCCTGGTCAACCATCTTAAACTAGCCAACTAAGTCTGGTTTAAGCTGTTTTTTTCAGTAGGGAATGTTCTCATTCTGTCAAAATGTTCAACAACAACAAAAAAACTCTGTGGTTTTACTTGGCCTGCTTTGTTTCGAATGTTCCCATTTGCTTCTACTGTGTTTTAATATCACCAACAGTTAAATATTTAAGGAAATTTCAGCAATGGCAACCTACCGCAGTACCACACATGACTGGGATATATGCAAACAGACCTTTAACTTTTAATTTGCTTTAATTTATTTAAATAAATGCATTTTACTTACTTTACGAAGCCAATTCAGTAAAATGAACCTTAAAAAATTGAAAACAGTAACATACACCGGAAGTTTACCATTGGCTGAAGAACGCTAGCTGTGCATTTACCCAGTTCAATGAGCTCCTCCTTCGTTCACTTATGTTTGTAGAAGCATCTGCATGCCTAGTGCTAGATTTTATACGCCTTTGGCCATTGAAATAATTGCAACGCCTCAATTTAATGATTTGAAGGGGTGTCCAAAAACTTTATAACTATAGTCAACCCAAAATATAATAGAAACATATTTAATACACGACATTATTGATCATTTATGTAAGTGAGGATAACAAAATAAAGCAAACTGTGACATATTATAGCCAAAAAGCCTTCATATAGTGGCCTATAACAGTGGTTCCCAACCTGGGGTCCGCGCCCCCCTAAGGGGGGCGCCAGAGTTCACAGGGGGGGCGCGGGAGAGGATAAGTATTGATAAGTATTGAGGGAGAGGATAAGTATTGAGGTAGAAAAAGGCATAAAAATGGTCCACTATTATAAAGGGCTTTGCAATTAATCGAAAATCCGATTTAGATTTCGGTTTCAAACGATTATAAAAAGCATTAATCGAGATAAATGATTATTGCATCATATTTCGGCACAGTTGTACACGTGTTGCTCTTAAAAGCGCGAAAGAGCTTATGTGTGTGTGCAGCACGATCACGCAGTCAGAAGCATGCGGCCGGTCAGCATTCGGTCTCATTCACACACTGAGACGAGCAGAGGAGCGCAGACATCTAAAGTCATCTTAACGTGAACGCTTTAATGGTCAAATAGGTGTCAAAACGCGGTGTTTAGTGATTATTTACATTAACACTCATTTGTGTAATAAACAAACGAGTTGAGGATCAAAAGACGTGAAAGAGAAACCATTAAAGAGACAGCGCGCTTTAATCCTTCTGTCACCTGTTTTTATTATTATTAAACAAACATAACGAGAAAACCTTTGCTGCTCTTGACTGAAGGAATGCTGTAGCTAAAGTGTTTTTCTTACAGTGAAGATGCTTAAAGCACAGTTTGTTTCATATTTTTATTCTATTGTATTTATTTCTCTTTCCATTGCAGGGTGGAAAATAACTGTATGTATACAGTTAAAGTCAGAATTATTAGCCCTCTTGAAAATTAGCAAACCTTTTCCTGCCCAATTTCTGTTTCATGGAAAGAATATTTTATTAACTTATTTCTGAACATAATAGTTTTGATATCTCATTTCTAATTACTGATTTCTTTTTGTCTTTGCTATAATGACAGCACATACTATTTTACTAGATATTTTTCAAAATACAAGCATTCAGATTAAAGTGCAGTTCAAAGGCTTAATTAGAGTAATAAGGCAAGTCATTATAACGGTAGTTTATTCTGCAGACAATCAAAAATATATATTGCTTAAGGGGGCTAATAATATTGACCTTAAATTGGTTTCAAAATATTTAAACCTGTCTTTATTCTAGCTAAAATAAAACAAATAGAAGAAAAAATATTATAGGAAATACTGTTAAAATTCCTTGCTCTGTTAAACATAATTTGGGAAATATTTATAAAAAAAAAAAATCTCAGGAGCGCTAATAATTTTGACTTTAACTGGCAATGGTTTTGAATAATCGTGATTACAATTATGACTAAAATAATCGTGATTATGATTTTTCCCAAAATCGAGCAGCCCAAAAATAAAAAATAATCTAAACCCATGCCACAAATACCAAAATAATAGTGAAAATAATTAAAATAAATAACTTTAAATAATTATTTAAATTTTGCTCACTCGGGCAATCTGCTTGTCAACGTGTCATAAAGGCAAAATCAAAACAAAAATGGCAGACAAACGTAAATGCTGTGATTCTTCAGAGGCGAAGATTAGACAGTATGACAAAGCCTACCTAAATTTTGGTTTTATTGAAGGCCAAGACAAGTTAAAACTGATTAATTAATATTTTCTATACATATTACTATATTACACAAACACACACACACACACACACACACACACACACACACACACACATATATATATATATATATATATATATATATATATATATATATATATATATATATATACACACAGTACATATGTGTGTGCGTGCGTGCGTGTGTATTTATATGGTGGGGGGGCTCCAATGTTTGTATATGTTTATGGGGGGGGCCCCAAAGAAAAAGGTTGGGAACCACTGGCCTATAAAACAGAGAGAAAGTGAAGAAGCTGCTGCAGTGAGTCTGGGAAAATACTGAAGTTCAGGTTTGGATGAATTTGGTTGACAACAGAGATTACAGCTTGACAAAGTTCTGATAGTTGTTTAAATGTTGTCATACTACTAGTTATCCGGGTTATTTTTACTCGATCGTTATACACAGAATAACACTGGGTTCCACTATAATAATTTGTGTTGGGGCAACAAAAAGAAATTAAGTTAACGTATAAGTTATTACAAGTTGAGATGGATTGAACATAAAACAATTAAGTTGTCCCAAAAAAAAAAAAAACTCAAGAATTGTGTCGTTTTAGCTCATTTTGCATAAGTAGTTTGAAGAAATAGCAAATGTCACTTTTTGAGTGTACCGTACTCGTATATCGTGGTATTAAAAAGCTCTGCTTTTATTTACAACAACCTGTTAGTGATTACCACTATTGTTTTTTTATTCCAGTATCTTATAGTCACAAATATAATCATTAGCTTAGCTTACAATATTTTGATATATTCAAACAAAACTGGTAAAAATTGTTTGTATATTCAACAGCTGTATGAGATTTTTCTCCTTAAATGGTAATCTTCACACAACCTCACAGTAAAATGCAACATTTACTCAACATCTGCATGATGCCCAGTGACAAGAGCACAGGATCTCTCTGGAATGACAGAGAGGGAAATATACAACATTTACAAGAACCCCATTTGTTTTTTTTAAGCTACAGGCCTCTTTAAGTCACATTTAATACAGGCACAGTTTGAACTGAAAGCAAACTATGTACAAAGTTCGCACAAACATGATCACAACAGACAAGCTAGTGTCCCGGTTAACAAAATCTTACCCTTGAGGTAAAATTAAATAATAAAATTAAGAGTGTAAACATTAACGTCACATTCATCAAATGCTGTATATTGACTTGCTTTTGGAACGTGGCACAGATCAGTAAACTGCAAATAATAGACAGCAGGATGCAGGAAATTTTGGGCTCCATTATTCAAGGTTGCAAACTACATGAAGCGCTTGGTTATGCTGAATCTTCCAGATATTGAATTCAAAATGACTCATGAAGAACAATAAATAAACTGGTTTCAAATCTGTGGAAAACGCAACTTAAATGGCTCCAGTTTAGTGTGGACTATTATCAGTAGAGTGTGATAAATGAAAGGTGTAAACATTGCGATGATCAAACATCTATAAATGGAGAACTTTAAATGACAAAAGGTGAATCACTCAAGGCATTGTTTGTGAAAATTGGCAATGATGATCTCCATGCAATGGCATCTGTCCCATAAAGCTCTCTTTGTGTCTTTCCTTTTTGGTAAAATAGATTGCCATGCACTTTTTGATATTTGCTTCAGTCAAGATTCTCAGGTGCCAAAAAAACAAGCGTTCCTGACAAAGAAGAAAGTTCATTTTCAAATACTCAATCTCAACCTACTGCACAGCAAAGAAAAAGGAGAAAAGCCAAACACTCCGGCTGACGCACTGAGGAGTATAAAAATCTGTGAGCTTCCAGGCATCCCAAATCACACCATATGATACAGCAGTTTTTCCTCTGACAGGTCAGTTATGGCAGCAGTTGTCAAAATAAGAGTCCTTCTTTTGCCCGAGATCCACCCCCTTCTCCTCTGTGAAGGTACAAAACTAAAGATATAAAACTCATCAAAATAAACTATATTATATTAGTTGTTCAGTTTTATTACACTTTTATTACACTATTACAACAGTATTGATCATAAACAAAAAGTAGCTAATGTGTTTCCATCATTACTGTAAAAATCTGTGTTAATATAAAATAAATCTGTAAGAAATATAAAAAGAGAAATAAGGCATTCAAGCACACATAAATTCGACAACCTGCATATCTATGTATGTAAATGTCTTGAAACCTGAATCACGTGTTCTCGAATGATGTATTCCTTACCAATACTATCCATACTAATAGTTATATATATATGTTTTAATTTCTGTAATAAATATGGCTGTCAAGCCAGGATCTTGATGGTTTGTTGTGGGTATGTTGTTTACATGAAGAAATCTGTGTTACAAGTTAAACAAAAATTCAATTAAACAATTATATTTTGAATTTTAATTCTAATAAACAATTATATTTTGATTTAAAAAAAAGTTTTTGTCTTGCGTTTACATTAATTTTACATTTGAATAGCCAAAATTACAAGTTTCAGTATTTTAAATGCGATTAATCGCGATTAATCTCGATTGACAGCACTAATATATATATATATATATATATATATATATATATATAGATATAGATATGTGTGTGTATGTATGTATACACAATTTGAGTCACTCAATGCATATTCACAATTTGTGAATACATCATAGCACAGTGACATCATAATATAATTAGCAACAAACTAACCAGCATTTAGCAACTTCCCCTGCAAAACAGTTAGCAACACTGGTCGCGTGTGGTGTGGACAAACCGAAATTGCTTATCACATCATGTCTTGTTAGGACACCACACTGTGTAGGTCATTGCACTGAAATGCTTGTATTTTTTGTAGCGTATTAGCAATTGTCTTAGCATCATAGACTTGTGCCTTTAACACAACCATAAAAGTTTTTCAAAGTTTTACCTTGCATGAACTCTAAAGCACAGCTACTAAAATCTTCAGCCACCTTCTGAAACACCTCATCTAGGTGGAAAATACAAAAAAAAAAAAAACAAATCAAGAAGTGAAACTCGGGTGCATGTTACAGATGAGTGAAGTTCCAGTCTCACTTACCAACATTTTTTCCTGTTTTGCTGGACGTCTCGAAATGTTGTGCACCTATTTCTGCAAAGAAACGTTTAGTGCTGATTTATTACAATTTTAAGTTTATTACAATTTTTATTACAATAGTAAGCTAAAAGGTAAAATCATACTTACCATCTGCAAAGTCTTGAACATCATGGTAGTCTACTTGCCGCGTGCTTCGGTCCGCCTCAATCAGGTCACTTTTGGTACCACATAGATATATTTTGCAGTGCTGGGAACAAAATAAGTTGTCAATGAATTTGTCCTTAAAGATTTGTGCTTCTTCAAGATTGTACGAGTAAATTTTACCTCCTCACAGTTCTGCAACTCCTTCACCCAGAACCTGGCCCTTCCAAAACTGCTGCTGTCAGTCAAGTCTATGTGTACATGTCGAAAACAGACACAAATAAAGATTATTTTTTCCCTCGTGAGGCACATAATGTTATTTCACAATATTACAGTTTTTCATAATATGACAGTTTTTGTTCTATTTAAAACATTTTACTGTTTATACATGCAGCTCAAAGTGAAATACAAGATATATAAGTGTGTGTGTGTGTGTGTGTGTGTGTATGTGTGTGTGTGTTTGTTTGTGTGTATGTATATATATCAACATTTTTGATCAGTGAATTTATAAGATCCCATTTATAGTGCAAGAGAAAAATTATAATTATAATATATTTGTTTTCTGAAGCAATTTGCATTATAATACTATTGTATTCTGCAAACTGTTAAAAATATATATATTGTACAAAATTATCACAATTATTTAAAAAAAAAATCCAGTCTTTTCAATAAACTTTTTCAAAATAATTGTATTTCTGTAAAAACAATTGAAAAGTATTAAGTATATTGAAATAGTATAAACCAGAGATGCCCAAATAGGGTCCGCGGGCCAAAGTAACCTTTGATTTGGCCCACTGTCCCGTCTGAGAAGACAGGGAGAATGATTAGGTATTAATTATTAATTATTAATTATTTAGATTAGGGCTGCACAATATTGGAAAAATCTGACATAACAATATTTAATTTTTCTGCCATATATAATAAATCTAAACAATTTCACTAAATGATCAAATAGCACTACTTGTAAAGAATTTATAGTCACACTTTATTTTAAGGCTCACTTCTCACTACTGGTCAACCATTAACTACAACTTCTGCTTCAATAAACTGCTAATTTGTTCATTATTAAATAAGGTAGCTTAGGTTTTGTAAATGTTAAAATTACACTACAAAATACAAATAACTTGATACAATTATTCTTTATCAAACTTCTAACTGGTAAAATGTCTTGTACCCGAATACTTAAATCTCTACCAGGCCTTAAAAACATGCAAATTATGCAATTTGACTCCATTATAATTGAACTCTGCAATAATTCCACAAATGTCATGTTCTGAACTGTGACTCTTGCTCAAATATAATCCCAACTCAACATTGCATATCTATGCGATGTGACTATAGCGGATGCACACATTGCAATATCGATGCTGAAACGATATATATTGTGCAGTCCTAACATAGGTTCAACAGTTAATATCACTTCTGATTTAACATTTTGTTTGTTTTATTGATAAGCTAGAAAAAGCTAACTGAAATTAAATGTTTTAATAAAATGTTGTAACTGAATCAGATTTTTAAAAATGTAAATACTGTCACTTGACAGATGCACAAGACCTTAGCAACTTGAATAGTGTATACAGCATTAAACTCCATTATGTTATAACATAAATTATTAGTTTTTATTGTAATAAATTAATTATTAGATTAAAGTAATTTTTTGCTATTTATTTTCAAATGTTATGAAATAAATTACCTTATTACCTATGGCAACTTTAATGAAACATAGTTTGCTATATTTACCCTCAGCACAAAACCCTCAATCAAGTTTGGCTTTTGGCCCTTCATAAGAACATGTTTGGGCACCTCTGGTATAAACATTAAAATGATATCTAGTCAACAGAAGAAATAAATATCACAATTAAGTTTTCAAATCAATATACTAACCCAGTCATATTTTACAATCCAATATAATATATATACATATATATATACACATATATATATATGTATATATATATATATATATATGTATATATATATATGTATATATATATATATATATGTATGTATGTATGTATGTATGTGTGTGTATATATATATATATATATATATATATATATATATATATATATATATATATATATATATATATATATATATATATATACAATGTGCATTATAAAATATATATTAGGATTGGATATTTTAAAATAAAAAAATATTCTGTGCTGATTAAATATTACTGCATTCAATATTTTTACAGCCTAGGTGACCATCTTTCAAAAACAAAATACTATCAATAATTGCAGACCTCAATTTTGTTTATACACAAAAAAATTGACACCCTCAAAAACGCATCATTATTATATAGAGGTAAAGTTGGTTTTATATTTGCATATTCGTTCATTTAGAAGTCTCTATATTGTTTACAGTGTTACTTTGAATATTCGATCGAAATTAGCATGCAAGTATGACTTGAAAACAACATTAGCACTGTTTATTTGACTGTGAACAATGTTGTACTTTGATAGTCATTGGCTGCTGATATGATTTCGCTATTTAGAGTTTGCAAATAATACTTTTATTAAATTATATTACTAAGGAGGAAGTCTGAATGTGCGAATATGAAACCAACTTTACCTCTATTATTATTATTATTATTATTATTATTATTAACAATCTCAAACTCCAAACTTTTAAATGGTATTATTTCTTTATATATGTTACCTAAATACAACAAGAAACTGCCTAGCATGTCTTGTAGCTACCATAAAACGTCCAGAGCTAGTGAGCAAGTGTAAGCCATTTACTTGCTCATTGTCACCTGACTGCTGTTATACAGTATGATGCACTTTGGATTCCTTTCCAAAAAAATAAAAAATCCTGTGCACGTCAGACATACCATAGCAGACAATGGCAGCACGAGCTCCTCTGTAGTAAATTCTGCTCATTGCTTCATAACGTTCAGACCCAGCGGTGTCCTGTATTGAAAGAAAATGCATGACATAAATCACCAAGTGGTCAAAGTTAATTCATAAAAATCTATCTAAAAAAGCAACTACACTCACCCATATTCCCAGTGTAATCACCTTCTCACCAACATTGAGGGCTTTTGCAACAAATGCAGCCCCTATAGTCTAAAGGAGACACATAAACATAATAAATAAACAAATCAAGCAACGTCATATCTCATCTCATCTCACTGCCGAAAAAGCCCCAGTCATCAGCAGAAGGTGGCTTTACCAGTGGAGCTGGTTTATGCTGCACATGATTAGAGATTATTGAACCCAATCAAAGTGCATCATACACAAAAATGTTTAATGAAAACAGTCAACTTCTTTTCAGAGACTCCCAAATACTTACATTTTGGTAAGGTCCCACAAGAAAGCGACGATGTACATATCTCTCCACCAGACTGGTTTTACCAACGCTTTCTTTGCCAAGCATGACAACCTTAGCGTCCACTCGCATGGCAGTCATGATGATATGGGTTTGTGCAAATAGACACTACAAAAAAGGACAGTTTTTATAGTTATTATTACCTTTATTAATATTTAGGCTATAAAAACATAACAATACATTCTGAATCTGTTTTAATATTCATTTCCCACGTTTAAATATATTTGTTTTGATTTACTGACATACTAAAACACTACTAAATACATATACTAAAATAAAACCTTTTGATATTTCACTTGTTATTCGAGGTTACATTTACAGTTAACATATTTCAAAGGTGCTAAAGTGAAACTTCATCATTACATAAGTGAAGTTATGTACGACAAACGTTTCAGTAGAAATTACAATTTCAGTGTATTTTAAAAGTTTGTTACATTTGGGAACAGACATAATTCATTAGTTATGAACAATAACTGCAATTACATGTATAGATAGTTCCATGTGAAATAAAAATATCTTCTTCTGACTGCATTTATAATAATTGTATATTAGAATAGCTTTAATTTAATAGCAAACGACATTCAATTAAGTGTTCAGTTGGCTCTAAGGTAAATACAAGTATGCTAAGTGTTGTGCTAAGAGATATTTGTCAATACAACTACAGTAGATCAACAGAGCTAGCTTTAGCTAAATAAAGCAATCTCAGTCTATCAAACAAAATATTATCCGCATGAAACACACGACAAGAGGTTAACATTAGTTGGCGTATTTTACACTTACCTGTATTTGTTGACGGAACTTTCCAGAGTGACTTTACTGACAGACCAATGTTGTAACTGGGTAGCTAATGTTCCAGTTAGCAAACCACTCTCATGTGGCACAAAAGCTACTAAAATTGGAGACTAACGTTACTTGATGTATTAATACATAAGCGGTTAATCACAATACACTTCGAACAGAGGACAAAAACATACAAATAAAACATAAAAAACTAAATAATTAGTGATTTGATGTGTGTATTCTCGCCCTAAACGACAGAAGAGCAGCTTAGCTTTCAACATCACTAAATACAGCAGAGCTGGAGAATTTCTGAGCCATGTTTTCCCGTTGGCATGGAAAAAAGGCTACAGGTCTGACAGATGTTGGCTGTATTCGGTAAATGAGGAACTGTAGTGTGTATCGCTAGGTGGAATTAACTAGTGTGTTTTTTGTTTATATAGAGGAGGATGTGACTTCACTATGAGGTTGTGTCTCAAATAGCGATGTTTGAATCGTCAAAGAATCGAACATATGAATCGAAGCTTTTAAATGAATCGGTTGAACTGGGTCGTTTACAGAAGTGAATCATTTCAGACGTAGCGAACCTCAGAAACGTTTATTAGTGTAATATGTTAACTTATATATTCATAAGTAAGTTTTTACGTTTTTGAAAATGTAAATATTGTCACTTGACGGATAGAAGGACATGTACAAGACATCAAATCAATGACACATGCAGCTTAGTGTATTCAGCATTGAACTCCATTGTGTAGTAGTTAATGGGATCATGTTTTAAGTTCATTATAAATACTGAAAAATATACTGCATTAGTTAATATCATTTAAGGCAAAGTTTTGTAGTTATTTTCAAAAATTAGGGAATAAATTACTCATGGAATATTTAATACAGTTTAGTATATTTACAGCAATCAAGTTTAGCTTTTGGCCTTTCACAAGGAAAAGTTAAGGCACTAATGGTCTAGTCACTAGTGGTTAAGTGTGCCGACTTGAGTTTGATTCCTGGCTTGAGGGCTTTTTACTGATCCCTCTCTTTTCTCTCCACTATCCCAGTACTTTCTTGTCTGTAATCTCCACCGTTCTCTCTCAAAGGTAAAAAAAAACACCTAAAAAAAAGGTTAAATGTAGAAATTTGTCATCATTTATACATACACACACACACACACACACACACACACACACACACACACAAAATATACTATTAATTTTCTTTTAGGCTTAGTCCCTTTATTAATCTGGAGTCACCACAGCAGAATGAACCGCCAACTTATCCAGCATATGTTTTACGCAGCGGATGCCCTTCCAGTTGCATCCGATCACAGGGAAACACCTATACACTCCCATTCACAAACATACACTACGGACAAGGTTTAATACCCAGTTCACCTGCACCTGTCTTTTGACTTGTGGGGGAAACCGGAAACCCACACGAGTACGGAGAGAACAGGCAGACTCGACACGGAAATGTCACTGACCCAGGCGGGTAGCAAAGAATTCTGGCCCAGATTTGGCATAAAGCTGGCACAGCAGGCATTTGTCTGGCACTGGCATGCAGCATTTGGGCCAAACATGGCCCAGGTTTTGCTGAGGTGGAACCGTCTTACAGGCGGCACACAAGAATTGGGCCAGATATCAAATTTAGTTTTTGGCCTAGATGTTAAAATGTATATGTGGGCCTTGTAAGTTCAACCTATCTTGAACCACTTTTAAAATACATTTAAATTATTTTTGTGTAAAGAAACAATTCTATCAATCAGATTGCTTCAAGAAACAGCGCAGCCATAAAGCGAAATGCTTCGTGGGTTTATAAAAACATTGGAGTCGCAATAACACACCAACATATCTGGCCCAGTTCAGGCCCAGTTATGGTCCATGTTTGCCTATTTTATGTAAGCCAGACTTGGTCCAATCATGTACCGTAATTCACTGTGGCATGTGGGCCAAGCAAATGCTGATGGTTTGGGCCAGATCTGGGCCTAGAAATTTTGCTATGGGGGAGCCTAAGTTTCTAACCAGCAACCTTCAGGCTGTGAGGCAATCGTGCTACTCACCATGCCACCGTGACGCCCCACATAAAATACATATTTTTAAATAAAGGGTTAATGACTTACATTGTATTTTTGTATTTTTTTGTTTCTTTCAAAATATCAAATATTCATTCATTCATTTTCCTTTGGCTCGGTCCCTTTATTAATCTGGGGTCGCCACAACAGAATGAACCACCAACTTATCCAGCATATGTTTTACACAGAGGATGCCCTTCCAGCTGCAACCTTGTACTGGGAAACACCCATCCACACTCATTCACACACATACACTACAGCCAATTTAGTTTATTCAATTCATCTGTACCACATGTCTTTGGACTGTGAGGGAAACAGGGGCCCCCAGAAAACACCCACGGGAACACAGAGAGAACATGCAAACTTCTCATAAAAACGCCAACTGACCCAGCCGTCTTTTGAACCAGTGACCTACTATTTGAGTGCATGAAAAAATTTCAAATACTAATGATAAATATATGCAGATATACCTAATGTTGCATCTATGGTTTTTGCTGTCTGTGGTATTTTTTAAGAGTTGATTGAAATGAGCTGTTCAAAAGAACCGATTCGCGAAAATGAATCAGACCTCCTATTACCGCAGGCACGTGCTGCATTTGGTCCGAGTGAAATGTATAAACCGCTGCTGATTGGCTGCTCGAATCACATGAAGCGTCTCAAGTTGGCTGAATATTTGCATATCTCAATAATTGGTGTTTATCTCTGTCACTCAGGATTTCTTCATTCCGATTGGCAGCGCTGCTTTGACACCGCCCATGTTTTGGCCAAAATGTCGTCTGGGTAAGGCTGCTCGCTCGCTCGCTCTAGTCGATACACACAACTCTTTCGAGGAGGAGTGAAAAATGGCGTCTCCGAAAACAGTGCCCAAAGATGCACAGGTAAATATTGTTTTAGAAAATGTGTTTATCATTGCGGTGCGTGTTTTAATTGTCATTTTGAACATAGCGATTATATTGGCATGTTTGAGTTGCGGCTGTGTAGTTTATTTGCTTGAGTTTTTCTTCATTGAGCGCTTACAGACGTTAGCGCGCTAACGTTAACGTTAACTCGTCCCCTTGAATCAAGATTGAGATTTAATTTGAAGTAATGTATAAAAATGTTTTGTGGATTTTGCATTTAACATTAAATACTTTAAAATGTGAATTAAAATTGGCATTTGAGCATCGCTGTAAGTATGCAATTTTAATGCTAATAACTAAGTTTACAGTTATAGAATGCAAATTTCTCATTAATTTTTTATTTGGAAATTTTATTTATCTTTATATATTATTAATAATTAGTGTTATATTTTTGAATATGTAATTGTTGTAATTTATCTTAAAGGTTATGATGCAGATTCTTAAAGACATGGGGATCACGGAGTACGAACCCAGAGTGGTCAATCAAATGCTGGAGTTTACATACAGTAAGTAAGCCTTCAATTTTTACCAATTAAATATTTTTTTTTTTGTTTAGTTTTTTTGGAGGAAAAATTAAAAGAAATTTCACACAATAAAGCTCCTAAATTGAAGCAGGAAATGTTTACATGTGTGTCTATATATGTATGTATATGTATATTATTTTTACAGTACAAATAGGTAAACACTTCTTAAATCAAAATAATACCCCTAAGTGAGCTTACTTTTCGAGAAATTTTAATTAAAACAATTGTGTCTTTAAGCATGAACAAAAACCTTATTTTTCACATTTTATCAAATCCAAAGTTAACGTTTTTGGTTTGCTGATGTTTTTGTGAAAACAATGTAACTTTTATAATGGTTAATGATTGAAGAATTTATTAACGTTTACACTGGAAAATTATTGTGCATTGTGATCAGAAGTACAGTAAATTAATTACACATATTAGTTTGAGTATTCTTTTGTCAAACAAAGGTAGTATTGAATATTTGGAGGATTGGAAATTAAGTTTTGCTGATGTTTTTATGTAGTGAACATATAGATTTGTAATTAATTGATTGCTCTTCAAATGGTTTAGATTACAAAACAAATCTACAGAAACTTTGATTAACATTTATGTGCTAGTAAATTTACCTAATTATAACTTAACATTGCTAATTTTTTTTTCAGGATATGTAACCACTATTATTGAGGATGCCAAAATATATTCTGCCCATGCCAAGAAGTCCAGTGTGGATGCAGATGATATAAGGTTAGCGATCCAATGTCGAGTGGATCAGTCCTTCACGTCTCCTCCGCCACGAGATGTAAGATTCTCTTGATGAAGTTTTTCATTCATGAGTTGTGACGCTTGACTTCAGCTATTTAATAATAGTGATGTTTGGGGTATTGTTTCAGTTTCTGCTGGACATTGCGAGGCAAAAGAACCAAACACCTTTGCCTCTGATCAAACCGTACACAGGTCCTCGTCTCCCTCCAGACCGTTACTGTCTCACTGCACCAAACTACAGACTAAAGTCCCTCCAGAAAAAGGTATTGTTTTAAGCAGTATGTTGTGATAAAATACATTGTCATTCCGATGTAAAATTAGGATTTGGTGACACATGAATTCTCAGGTGAGTAACATGTTGTAGTAATATATTAATGCTGTCACACAGAAGTCACTTTTGAATGATGTTATCCAAAAATTCCAGATTATTATTCAAATTATTATTTTTTGATTTTGATTTAGCTTTTTTATGTGTATGGAGCAGCATTTACTGCAAACCGGATTTTCATGATCTGCTTAATTACATCAGATTTCATATTTACTGTAAATATAACTTAATATTTTAGGTTAGAAATTCGTATGGTATGAAAACCTTTAATTGAAAGAAAATGGGCATTTTCTCATCATTCTTAAACTATAAGAAATCTGAGAGATTTCTGTTGAAAGATTGTCCAACTCTTCAAAATATTCATAAAGATGTGACAAAATTAATCCATATTTAAGCTATTTAATTTAAGAATTTATGTTTAAATCATGGTTGAAAAGTCATTCAATGTTGACACAATTCTCTCAGATTTGATAAAAAAAAAATATATATAAATTTGTGTTTAAAAAATGTGTTTGGGTGATCGCTAAGCTTTTATTGTGTGTGATCATGTGTATCTTATATGGTGGTGTTTTACATGTCTAGGTGTCTTCATCCGCGGGCAGGATAACAGTCCCACGCTTGAGTGTTGGGGCGGTCTCCAGCAGGCCAAGTACTCCAACACTTGGTCAGTTATTTTTATTTGATTTATTTTTGATACACATATTACTATACACTTTAAATTGCTTAACGGCACACAGGACAGTTTAGGTGCTGATGATTTCTAATGTACATTTGTACATAATAAAACAACAATAATAATAAAATGTGATATACAGTTGAAGTCGGAGTTATTATCCCTCCTGTTACATTAGTTTAATATTTTTCCCTGAATTATTTAACAGATTTTTTCCAACACA